GAGAATTTTACAAAGGAGAGCAATTTAAAACAAACATTCTCATAGCCACTAGCTATCAGCCTCGGAAATGTCATCCTTTCGATCATAGGCACTGCGCAGTGAAATTTTGTTGAAAGAGCAATTTTTTTTTTTGCTTTCATACGTTCGAAATTGCATGATGGCAAATTGTATTTAACACAATCTAAAATGCTCAAAGCATATCATCGTTGATTCATCATACCTCGATATGGGAGACTTGACCTCGCTAAAAATACTCGTTTCTTTCTTGTTCAGAATATGGAGCATAATTGGGAGAGTGGCTTATGAAGACATTAACTTTACCTAGCAGTTGTTTGTCTACCTTTTATGCTTAATTTTGTATTGAGAAAAACATTGCCCAGTCGTATGACTAAAGCAGACGCTTTTCCTGCGCAGAGAAGCGCTATTGCCACACACATTGTAAAATGTTTTCGAGCTATGGTAGCATATGTTTGTATCGGAAACTCTTCTCGATTTGACAGTTTGAGGCAACAAAATGAAAGAACTACGAATGGACAGGCTAGGATTTTTAGGCAGATCGAACAAAATGCAAAATTAGGAATTTTTTTTCTCAGACTGACAGGAGACGCTTTTCAAATTGGCAATATGTCCGATTAGAAAACTTCTTTCAAATGGGCTCAGGTAATAAAGGTTAGCAGCTTTAAGGGTAATTACATTGTCTCAAACAGGTCGATCGATAACGAGAATATATGTTAGTCAACAGTAAACACATTACTAAATAGAATGATACCGACTCTTATACTGATATTGCCTAGTATGCAAACATGTAAAATTTTTGGCACAGCCCTTATTTTAGTAGCTGACATTTTCGAATGATTCAAATAAAGCAAAGCCTATCCTCATTTCTCAATATTAATACTACTGGCTGGCTTAGAATATATTGAATTGTTTGAAAATTCGCTTTTTCTACCTAAAACCCACGTACCCAATTCGGCGGCGACAACAAATTAAGGACCTTTTTAAATAACTGACGTCATTCATTTCCATGTTATGAACTATTCGCCATTTTCATAGCTGCTGTTTCATAGCTAGGTACGTATTAAAAAAGTCGCCTTGGAATTATAATGTTTTGATGTTCAGGCTCAGCTGTCCTCTCAGACCGTCATGTTAGGGCAAAGTCAATAAAACGTTTGACAAAGCACACCTGTGTAAAAACAATCGTTTTTTAAAGTACTCTGATCTTAGCTGTCTTGATCGGCTCAACTTGAAAAGCGGACGAAATTTGGCTGAACGCATTTGTTATAACATATAAGCAAATGTTCATTTACATGGCAGCACTTGTGGTCCCATCAGTTGCTCTTTTCGGTCGTTTCAATATATAACGTACGGTATATATGTTCGTTTTATATCAACAGAAAACAAATTAAACAATGAGGGGCTTTCAACGAGTGGGTACGCTTGGGTTTTGCCTACACGAGGAGCATTGTACTCGTAAGCTGTGAGATGTTCAGAACCTCTTGTTCGACCTTAGCTCGTCCTTTGATATAACGCCGTAAGTTTTCGATCGGATTTAGGTCGAGTAACGGTCCAGAACCTCAACAACGATGCAATATTTTCAAACTTCAAAGGCAAATTTTGCCATGACATGCACCTCGGAAACACAGTTTGTAATATGACGTGACAATTTCTTATGCGTAGACATATCATTCTTATCCAAGAACCGTCCTCTAGCCTGAAACAATATACTTCGTCTGAGTTAGCTCGTTTCCCCACAATCCGATCGAAGAGATCTAGAGCGTTTACATCGTGTATATAAACTGCAGTTTATAGCAATGTTTTGCTTGGATTTTTGACGTGCTGGATTGCACAGGACATGTGGACTCTTTAGCCAGAACGCCCGTGGACATTCTGAGTGATGCACTTCATCTGAGAAATAAACCCTTTCTTAGTCTCCCCCTGCTGGGAATAGTTTAGCTTGTTTAAAACGCGCATACCTCTGTATACCGTTTATCCGAGGTCCTCAGGCCAGCTTATGACAGCTAAAACCACCTATTTTGATATGATACTGGAGAGTCTTTACGGCCCACAGTGATTCCGCACTTTACCACCCACTGACTGACGCAATTAAAAAATTAAAAAAATGTATTTAATAAACGCTTTTCCTTTCTAGTTCAGTTAAAATGATCGTGGCTCTTCGCCCTTTCCAATTTTTTTTTTATTATAATGGAGGCTGCACGTTATTTTCTAGCCTTTGGGCTACATTGTCGACTGTACACTGTAGTATTTCGACTCGTTCAGCAATTTCTATTCACGATCGCTTTTGCTGTCTGAAGCTAATCGTTAAAATCTGTTGCTTTTAAACGAGGTACTTCTATAAATCCACAGCAATTTCCCACATAGACAAAAAACCACGCTTTTTCTTGTTCCGAGCAATCTATGCTCGCAACAACGTCAATATTACATCTCTAATTATCGATGTCCTGCTACGAAACGGGAGTAGACGAGGTCGGATAAATTGCCTGAGCATCCATACGTGCCATGGCGCATAGCCATTCAAGCACGCGTCTCAGTGTGTGCCTTTTTTTCCATAGCAATTTCAGGACGCGTCTTTAGGGACAGTGTCACAATGACACGTGTTATAAAACAGCCGAGGGAGGAAGGACACTTTCACATAGAAAGGATGGCACGTTGACGTCTAGTTCGGATGCGGAGCGATTAAACTTGATAATATATGAAATTTTCAAGTGACCTTACTTAGTTAGCTACTGGCTATAGTTTGTGTATAAATCTACAAAGGCGAACTTTGCAACCGTATAAACAAGGAATATCTACTCGATAATTTTAATCGAATGACTTTCTTGTCTCGATCGTAAATTTTCAAAATTGTGTTCACCTAACCTCACGCTCATACTCAATTTAATACAGAAGTAATTGTTTTTTTGTTACGTACTCAGTGAGTCACCTCGAGCGATCCGCGCATTATTAAACTGTGGATCATGACGTTCTCGATCGTCCCCGTCAATTATGGAAGGAACTCCATCAAACAGGACAACGCATCCGACGTGAAGGGCGTTCTGCCGCCACTTGCGGCGACGGTGCTCGGATGATACCGATGTGGACGATTACGAAATGGCTGGCGGTCGCCTCGAATCATAACGTAAGATGTCATCAAAAGTTGCCTGGGGAGTTCCTTTCTACTACGACGGCTACAAGCAGCGAGCGTCTAGCTGCAAGACGTCTTTTTTCTGTTGTTCCGATTTTTTTTCCAAACAAACAAGCTGCCGCTCTTGTCGATTGGGACTCGCTCGTAGCCGTTGACGGCACCGGCAGAGGACGTGCACCGAGAGAGGTTCTGTGAAGAGAGGATCTGCTGCTCTCTCACCTCGAACGCGCCAGCGGCCGCAATGACACACACATACGGAGTTGTATCTGCTCGCACGCTGCCACAGCATACGTGATTCGAACAGACTTACATTTACCGAGACATAATCGCGTGAATACACAACTCGGCAGCTCGGTGCTTACGTCGTCGGTGTCGGAGGAAGTTACTAATAACGTCGCATTTACCAATGGCACAATGTTGTCTGGTTGTCATTGATGCTTTTGCGGAGAACATGACCTGACGTAACTCACGCGACTATTGACGAACTTCGCTTGCCAGACTAACGGAAATATTATCTAAGTCGACTCCGGTAGCATCGGATTCTGTTGGACAAGGTTTCAATATCGTGTCGCATCTATAAGCGGTGCAGTTTCCTCAATGTTGAGAAATCCTATTTAACTGTATTTAGTGTTCACGCACGATAATTATCCTGCGGCCTTATTACTTATGGGGTGCTAGATTTAAGAAAAAAAACTTTGCAAGAGTCCGAAGGCGTTCGCGCACATTCTGCTCGTTGCTTCAGCCAGTTTATTATTGGAATGAGAATTTGTCGTCATAACTTACTGGTTAATGAGATGCACTTCACACAATGAGGTCGAAATCATACCCTCCAGGGGTGCGATAGTGTAGTATCGTTTCGGGGACCATTCCACGCCCTCTTAGACGACCTATATTTATCATACACGCGTGCTAAATGGATCGAGTTCAGTCAAGCAACGTTTTTTGTCAGATCAGTTCTAAACACCATCGACCTCATTTACCTTTCTAAAGTGACAAATGGCAAGTTTTCTTTTCTCAACCGCATCTTGCTGTTAAGCCTGCACCGCGTTTGCAGCGTCCCGTCCAATCAGCCTGCGAACGAACTCCTGCTGTAGCAACGCCGACAAGAGGAACCTGAAAGATTTTCAGAGTGACGACCTGGCTATTCAATGGATAGCATCGACGTCAGCGAAATCTAAACAACAGACAGCGGGAGAACACTAGGACGTTTGGTTCATCTATTTGTTTTTTGTCCCACATCGACTGCCCCGAAGCGGTTACGTGAACGTCATCTTAGAAAGTCGCGCAGGTTTCCTGTTTGCTGTGTCCCTTTTGGCATCTTCGTTGTATCCGGCGCCCGCCAGCGGCTTGTTCCGATCTGTGCTGTGGTGGAGCGGATCACGACCATACTGGGCCTCCTGTAGTTATTATTGTCTTTGCAAAGTACAGGCTAGTAACGCCTCTCCGGCGACGACGACGACTCATCGACCGTACTCTTTCGTGTCCCTTAATTCCAAGCGAGTCTCCTGGCTCTCGGTTGGAGCCAGGCCGCGCGAACTCACATCGCTCGTTTATGTTCGGGTATCAGTTAGTGGTTGTCTGACAACATGGCTGGACGTAGCTGTAGGACCCTCTTTACGTATGATACTCCCTCAGGTGCTTGATGTCGGAATCGCAAGAAGAAGTAACAACTAAGCCAGCTGAATACTTGTTCGGTTGTCTGCTATTCGGATTCATCGTTGACGTGTTATTTCCGTGAGTGCCGTTGTCTTCAAAAGAACAAATAGCGTTATCGTTGCTCCGTCTTGTTTGTTTTACGTAGCGTAATTAATGTCATTTCTGGCAGGGCGGCAGCGAAACGAACAATTGAAGGAGTAGCTTTCTTACCAAAAACCGCAGTGGCAGCAGCAGCAGCAGCAAGCGAGTGTACGTACAGATAACGACAACTCGTTATCTGTACGTAAGGAAAGATATTCTCATAACGTTTGCCGCTATTTCCTACGTGTTCCTGAAGCTCTTCCAGTTATTTACGCTTGGCCAGATTGGACTCTTAGCCGCTTCTCGATTTCTGTCCTCTTTCGTCTACAATCAGCATAGCGGCCTGCTTTTTGTCATTCGTCACTTTTAGGATACATTTATTTATGGCCGCTGCTGCTAAGACGGCAGCGGCTGCCGTATAGTATTATACGGTATACATACGTGGCCGCTGTATCCGCCGAAGCATTTGCTCGACTACGGCCGTCACGACGCCGCGGCTTAATTCCAATAGCGCTAAGTACGATCATATCCCTGTGTCGCTAGCGGAGGCTGCCTGTCCGACAGTCGCGAGGCAGCTGTAGCGACATCGGCAGCGACAACGGCGACCAGAAGTCAACAACGAACAGCAAAATTTGCTCGGCGTACGTATCTTGACCACTGCTGCTGCTGCCGCCGGCTCCACGGACGGAGAAATAGAGGAAGACAGGGAGTCCGAGGCCACATCTATCGCTCGATCTGTTAGTACGCTCTTTCGCGTGTGTGGCGTGCTGCTACCGGCGCCGTCTGTGCTAGCGGCGGCAGCAGCAGCAGCAGCAGCACTGGCCGCTGTGGCCATCCGCACTTACCCTTCGTCTCCGCCCGGATCTACTTTTACTACGGGCAGCGTTTGTCAATGGGCGTAGTAGTCGTGTCATTGTGGTCGATGTCGGACGAGGAACAGTCGCCGGAACAGCCGCCGCAGTGGCAGCAGCTGCTCTTGCTGAATAGTGGCCATAGCACACATTTGTAGTGGAATCCTTGAGGGCGCTAGTCAGCGGCCGGCCAGTGCTAATGGTACCAGTTGAGGCATAAGGCCGCTTCACGACTCGACAGTAAACATGGCCGTGGTGAGTCGCATTCACTGCAAAAATAAGCCGCTGGCATGACAGCATATACGAGCTTTCTAGCGTTCGCAACGGTGGACATTTCAACTGTACAATAGCACAGCTGTCACCGCTGTTGTCGTTGCAACAAAATTGGACCGGATAGGGCCGCGCTAGATCGAGCGTACGCCTGCCAAACGAGTATCTGTCTGTCTATTCTGCCAGCGTATCGTTGCGTGCTGATCGACCGCGCCATAGGTGCACTTGCCGGTTGCCATTTACTGCCGGTGACAAGCAGCGATCAAGAGCTGGCAAACGCTGCGGGACGTGCGGTTCATCGTTGACGTTCGGTCGCGCTCCTCTCGGATGTCGAGTACGATTGAATTGAGTCCCTAAGTTGGAACTCAACAGTAATCTGTGCTCGCCCCATCGGGCGTATAGGAAATGAACGGCTCCAACAATTGTACTGGTTCTAATAGTGTTCGTATTCGAAGCAGCTGCGTAGGGAAGTATTATTAGTAAGTAGCATCCTCGCGGGATTGCCAAGTCGTCCAAAAGGAGAAGTCCCTAAATGCGCCATTTTGCCCGCTACTCTCCAGGGCTACACAGATACGGATAACAAGATCATTATGAGAAAAAACGGCACTAGCAGAAACGATAAACAATTTAACGGTCGTAGTATCAATATACCGACGACCCAATACAACTGTCTATAAGATCGCGCATTCTGTCGACAACTATACGTACTCCGTCGGTAGGTCTCAATGATTGTTGATGACATAATAGCATTGACAGGTAGAGTGAGTGCGGTGGCCACCTGTAAACTAGCTCCTTGTGCTAAATCCATAAAGGTTGGCTTTGTGGTAAACGAAGGCAGAAAACGGGAAATTGTTGTCGCCCTATGGAAGGTGGTGAGGAAGTCCTTATCACGATTACTATTGAAATTGATCAAAGTGCTGGTTCTCAACGTGTCGACAGCCCTCATAACTGAGCTAAAAGAAAGAAGTGCACTCGTAGTTCTCGTTTTTATTGTGCCCCAGTTACGCCCGTCTTATTTAGGTACAATTGTGAATTCTGTGCGTCTTCGTCTTCGTCTTCATCTTTACACGTTGATAATTAGTGTCAGTCAGTGGATAATTACGTTAATTGTTCGCTTTACTATTATAATTACTATTACGTGGCTACAACCCTGCGTTTTCTTCATTATCGGTAGTGATTGTGCAGCTGATAATAGGTGAAGGTCCGCCCGGTCCGTGACACTAACCCAGCGTCCCAGTTGCTCCACGTTGTTCCTACCATTCCGACCCAAGCATCTGGCATAATTGCCGCCTTACTGTCGTCACCGAACAAGCGTCTACAACCGGCTCGCTGTGCACAAGCATTTAGCGAAAATGGTGAGATACCATCTTTGTCATTGATGTTTGTAGTGCTTTTGCTCGACATATTGCCCTTTGGACATCGTCTAACAACGTTCAGACAATATGCACATCCACAGGTGCTATATAGGATCCATAGGAATACAGAGCGGAACAACGGCCATAAACACATATTGACATCACAGGAGTCGGTGACGATGTTGATGAAATAATCGACTCAAAAGGTAGATTAGAACAAATCATGCGAGAAAAGGACGCCAGTTGTGGGGGTCGTTCTTAAAAAAAAAATATAAATAATTGTTTTCATGAAGATCATTTAACTTTGTTTACTGTAGTGTTTAGTCTCATTCGCACGAGCAGAGCGCGCGTCTTTGGGCCGACGGACCTGCTTCGAGTAACCGTTTCATCAGCAACCCAATTTTGGCGCCTGTGCTGTCTTGCTGCTGATGGGTCACCGCTGTGGCGCCAGTTGGGGCAGTGGCTTCTTCGTCGCCGTCAGCGTTCGAAGATGTAGAAAGCTTAGCCCGGTAGATATAGTCTCGTACGACCACTTGTTTTACCAGACGAGCTGCTAAGACATGTAGCGCTGATAGTCATAGAATACTGCATAATGGCAGCGCGCGCTGTTAGCCAAGAGAGACGCCGAGTATGGTGTTCTGAAGTGCGTCTGACGGTAGATGGCAGCTGGAAACAATTATGATAAAAAAAATAATACAAGTTTACTGTGCATATACACGAAAACGATACCCCGCTGTCACCAGCCAGATCGAGTCGATCCGTAACGGGTTGGGCCATGCGGGCCAAACCCCGCGTAAACGTGACGAGGTTTACGATGATATTGAGCACTATTGTACGTAGGAATAGTAGAGATATTGCAGACACCGGGCGCACTGTTAGGAAACGCCAAACACTAGTAGCGTCTAGAGATTATCACCGTTATGAGAGGTTAGGTGAAATGATATATGTAAAATCGTGCATAATCCATCTTTCATTGAGCTAACATATTTTCCTTCATGTAGCGCAATTCAGGATAGACGACCCTTACCTACCCAACGTTCATTGCAGCTGACCTGTCATACGTGTTAACTCGCGTATGACAGACCAGCTGCATTTTAACCCACCTGATTAAAGCGATTTGCAGTTTCTTTTTACTTTTTACAGTATAAACGTTTCTTCTAAATGCGTTCCTGCGAACTCCAAAATGGTTCAGAAATTTCTACAACGCATGGGGACGGAAAGCTAGGAAATCGTCTTGGGCAACTGAAGGACCCTAAAAGCAAAACATTTCATTAAACGAACCATGGAATACCAATTAACTTGAGCTAATGGCCGGGCGACAAGGGTTTTGATTTGAGTTTGTCGTCGTCTACAGAGGCGAATTCGGCCATACAAAGGTCGACGTCGATCGTTTTTTATCCCTTTCAAAATAAAAATTAAATATTCCAAAAAATGGCCATAATGACGCTAGCGGGTATTTGAACGTTTAACGTGATACGTTTTTTCTTTCTCGAATATTTCCACTTCGAAAGTGGGTGGTTAGCGTTTTCAACCATTAAGAGTATCGTCATATCAAACAGAACTATGTAGCGAAAACACACGCACAAGCGATCCTTTAGACAAAGCTATTCGAAACAATGTGGAGAAGCTAGACATTTTCTCTTCCGTCTGTTGGTAGTTTTACTTACAGCAGATAATAATACTCCGCAGAAAAAACCGCATCGAAGAAAGATCAGAGACCGCCAGTTGGTAATGGACACCCTTCAATCGACGCTGCTTTCAAGCGATCCACCGAAGACGAATAGGTCGAAATTCAGAAATGTTTTTGCACCCCAAGCGTACTCGGATGAAGTTGATACTCCCAAAAATTGTTGAATCTTTTTACGAGTTCGAGCAAAACTCCGTAATTATCAACATCAACGTTGGCAACATTAGCACTAGCATGTACGAATGGCTAGAAGAGTCGAGTGTCCATTGAAGGATGTCTTCGGGTATCCTATGAATAACTTGGTGTGCCTGTACAAGGCGAGCTTCTGCAACCGAACTACCTAGTTGACGGAACGACAAACACGCAGAACGTGTGACCTAAACTCATAGGTCGATGCGACAAGAAACAATCAGATTAATCAACAAATCGAGCGATGACGGATGGCACATTTCGTCCAAAGTCTTATTTTATCCAGGAGGACGGTAGTCCTATTTGGATCAGGTAAAAACACTAGTTCGAGTTGAAGCGTTCGGTCCCTGTGGCGCATTCAAACGATTCAAACAATGCTCCGAATATCGAAAAAATCCATATTTCAAACACTCGATCGTTCATTTCCTTTGACCTTATACGAAATACGTTTGTTGTCGCGTACGTTACAGACCGTACGTGCATGCAGATACATCTTATCATTAGACTAAGCAAAAGTTAGCTGTCTCGAATAGGACATTTTGCGGTGTCAACAAAAAAAGAAGCGTGTATGGTGTCCAGATTATAATCTACTGACGCACCTGTTCGTGCCATTGCACAAACCTGTTAACCGCCTACCTCAAAAAGGGGGAAGACAAATTAATGCCGCCGCGGTGCATAGTAGTCCTCTTAGCAGATAACTACTATTACAGGTGTCCCAGTATCAAAGCATCCGTTGTCTGGGAAAGGCATTAGACCAAGGGCAAACCTGCGGAATCGCCTGCAAATAACAACCATTAGATACTAGCCGTGCATGTGCTTTGGCTATACGCCTTGCTTCGTAGTTATCGATATTATCGATTTATAATAGTAGTAATCTGGGCCTTTTTTCCTGTATGTGAGTTACGAAATCAAACGTCAGCCAAGGTTTCAGTAGGACCGTTTTAAATAAATTTGCGCCTTAAGTAATTTTATCCAAACGTACTGTTATCATCTGATACTGGTAAAATATTTCTTCTCTATTGATAGCTCAATTGGTTGACATATCGTATCAGCTCACATGCATGGGTATACACATTACGCCAACGAGATGAACACAAAGACGTCAAATAGCACAGGATTTTTGCTGCTGTTGCTGCTTTTATTATTGTTCTCGTTATTGCTCCTGCTGCTGTTGTTGTAAAGCGGCCATTATTGAAACTACACCAGAACGGAGCCTTGTGATCGGTCCCGCCTCTTCCAACATCTTGAGTGTAGTAGGCTGTGTAAGTGCATCATCAACGGCGATGTCGGACGAAAGGGCTTCCTCGACACGCGTCCTGCCCTCTCCCATGTTCCCCCAGTCGACGTGTCACAAGACGAATCTGGCACCACATCGCGACCACCGGCTAATAAGATAACTTAGCTGGCATTTCGTTGTCGCCTGCGGTGTACCTGCCCTTTACGGTTTATAGTCTCCATTGTAGCCCAATGTAGTCTGCGTGGAGAGGCGATCCACTAGGCTATGACAGAGCGAACCAATACGTGTCGCAGTGCAGCTGGCAGGGTGGCGGGCGTGCCCGGGATGAACAGTTACAGATTGCGCCACCGAATGTGTTCGAATGGCACCGTTAGTGAGAACTTTTGCAGCTGTGGTCATGGAAAGCCGAAAGAACTGAAACAGCAGTGAGTGCCGACGGTGTCCGCGTTCGGCTTTTGATTTCAGCAGATGTCTCGTCTTGTAAAGGACTTATCCTACTACAAAAACAACAGGCACCAAGACCGCTACTGAATCACAATTGCCACAACCTGTGGGAACTTGAGCAAGTGGTGCTTTTAGTCGATGTGGCTCTACACTGAACCTTTTGGGCGGGATCTCTTTGTGTGGGAATGCTACGATGTCGTTTGTGAGTACACATTGACCTGTCTATCTGGCAAAGAACGATAAACCGCTAGTTAAGCAAAACAGAAAATGGAAATGATGAACGAAAATGTCGTTTTGAAAAAGTTCTGTATGGAGCATACGTGCAATCTGCCTTTCTCAAGTCGTTCTTAAGAGGGCGGGCAATCAAGTTCGAATATCATACAGAATACAGTTGCACGAAAAGCTGGCTTTACATAATCACATAAGTACGCAATCAGATCTAGCAAAAAGAAAAACTATTCAAATGCAATATTGCACAGCGGGAGAATAAGCCAAACATTTAGAAATCGGAGACCTTTAAATATAGGGCCTCCGTTTTGAGTAACCCAAATTCGTATTTAATCAATGCACTTAGCCAAGTGGGCCGTCTTACCCGATGGCAATCAGCTCGGAAACAACAAACATTTTGTTATCGTTTAAAGGCGACAGAATGACCATAAAAACGGGTTCACTGTTTTCTTGACATTTGGTCTCGACGTTCGTCATGTCAACTTTTGCGTGAAGAGAGGAGCCCAATCCATTGCGGAGCAATGAAACGCGCGCATGATCGCCCGACTATTATCGGGCTTCACCTAACTGATAATTCCCATGTTTACCGCGCAAGCTTATGAACTATAGTAAATTAAGTAATAGAGAATACTGAATAAATCAAGGAAACCACCAAGGTGGCCTAAGACAAAACTTAGGTTATGATTCTCTGTTGTATACGCTGTATATGTTGTTCAATTGAATCATATGAATGATGTGACTTGTGTCAAAAACGCAATGGACAGAATGTCCATCGAAAAGCTGTCCTCCATGCCGGTGTTTCAGTTATGTCAACTTATAAGTTATTCGTAAGTGGTTACAATTAGCTAGAATTCGACCAAAGGCGATTTAAGTACCGCAATACACATGCTCATGGTAGCTGCCAGTGAGTTTCCACTATCGGCCATCGAAGTGTACTGAGATTACCATCGAGAATTCAGTCAGCACGTACTTAACCAATGCGGAATTGTGAGTAAACCATGGAACTTCACAAATTACCCTTGTAAACAAATCGTTGATATACACCTAGAAGCTTGCCTACATGACACAAATGTATGAATCCGTCCGTATAGTGTGGGGGTTAAACAATGACAAAGAAAGGCCAGCAGCTCTTCCAATAACTGCATGTTATCAATGTGGGTAGGCGATTTCTTTTCGTTTACCTACCTCGATTATTAGTTGTTTTGACAGAAAACCAAGCTTCCAAATACGTTATTTTTATTTCAACATATTCCTCCCGCCTCGAACATGCAGAGGTGGTCTATGACCTGCGTAAGCTGTCGAAGAAAATTTTAGGCTAATCGAACTGCCTTAGGGTGGGTGGAAATAAACCCATTATTATGTGTATCGTTTGGTGGTCTTGGGCGGATAGTGTTTTCTGCTCACGGTAAACGATTATAGAGAGAAACAGGTATTGTTCAGTTTTGCTATAGAGACGGTGCTATAGTAGAACAACGAAGGAACGACTCGATTGTTATAATTTCCTATGCGATGACTTTATGCGTTAAGACGACTGTACTTCCATGTCGTTCTGTGAAAGTTACTTTCCAAAAAGGTACTAGAATACTGTGCGACCAATAAAATTAAGATTCTGGGAAAAATTATAAAGTTCGGGTATTTTAATGCCTGTCGTCTGGAAATCTTGCAGGCGTAGCGTGTATAGCGTACGAAATAGTCGCGCATCGCTTTTTTTAACCACATCGTAGACAAACACGGCCTTTTACCGAGTTTTATGGATGCCAGAACGTATGTAAGTTTCTCACCTTTTGAGGCACTGAATTCGCACAAAGCTAAATTAACATATTTTGATTGTTTGTTTCCAACAAAGCGAACCATTGACTCTGTTGTAAGAGAAAACGATTACATTACTTGTACTAACAACAGGGTGGGCATATTAGACGTAACGCATAGGTTATCTACCACTAAAGGCCTGCACCGATTTCTATTTTTTTTTCGTTCGGCAATTTTCTAACACCCAAGATTCGTTGACGCTTGAAACAGGGCCAGCCCGAATAGTTCGATAAATTCATGCAAATGTAACGCAATGCTGTTTTTGCAATAGCTAAATTGAGCGTTCTGTTTCGATATATGCGGCTTGATCTGAATGCTGGACGAGTAGTGACTTGTTCTTTGTTAGCCCAGCTGGGGTTGACAGTAGCGTACGTGTCAGTAGCGTTCTCCTCAAATCTATTTTTTGGCAACGTCCTTTTTGCATGGCCGTAGCATAGGCCGGTGGAGCCCTACGACGCGAAGGTAAATACGTACAAAAAAAATGACGAAAAAAAGATTGTATTGATGCTATTGGTACTGGGGTCTCCGGCAATGCCAACTGCGGTTGGCCTCGTTGTCGCCAGACGACGCTGATGATGTCGTGAAATATCTTGACGGGCAATTTCGTAGAGTTTGATGCCACTCGTCCAACTTTTCCAGCCGGATCTCAACTAGAAATAGCCTGCTGTGGAAATATGAATAGACATAGCTTCTGGTCTTGTGCCTGCAGTTACCGGGCAACAACAACTAGGAGAGAGTGGCTCCCACTCATTATTCAGTGAGTTCCGCCGTCGAATCGCATGAAATTATGCAACAAGTGACACTTATAAAACAGACAATGTCATGATACTGTGGAGGAGGTAGGTATTTAATAGAATAGGCACGATTACCCGGGGACGCTAAAGAGTTTGGATATCAGTGCTGCCGATGCTGAGCGCCCTCTCCGGACGACTGTGCCGACTGTCAATCGGTTTCCGACCGCGATAAACATAGTTAATATTAAAAAAAGAAAAAAAAGCGGAAAGTATGCAAACGAGTTAAATATGGGCGATTCCCCTGTTTATATGCTGGATCTTTTGTTTGTGTCCATACAGAGGTGACACTTTATTTCAAACAAGTATCTAGATCTGTTATACTAGTTTCCGCTTCGTGTGTGCTTGAAGGCGAGGCGTTCCTGGCGGCCGTGAAGGTGCAACGTATCTTTTATACTAGAGCAATGTCAACCATCTGGCTGTTAATTAAACATGGCTTGCGACAATTAGCGATACTGTTGTAGCATTAACGTTGAATAACGTTATTTGAGAACTTTGTTATTTCTTACATGATCGGACACAGGTGTCTCGAACAACAATAATAAAGCAGCTCGTACCGATCACTCTATTGCACGCACGTAAAGCGGAACGTAAAGGGATACGTCCGATCACGCTCGTTCTCATCCCTTAAGTCGTTTTTAAACCAAAGCCTATATTTTTTGATTTCGAAACTCGTCTCTGTTATTATTATGTTGTACCTGTCTCTCTGTTTTAGTACAAGGCCGTGTGTGCATGACCATGTTGTCATGGGACGTCGGACGTCAACGCATACATCCCTTTGACGTAACAGGCGATGCAGTCCTGGCTGACTTCGACTGTACTTTTTGCCACCCTAATGCAGCATTGAACCTATTTTGAACATCTGTTGTGCACCTTTAAGACTATTCCTGCTCTATCGGGAGAAAATGGTCAATTTTTTAAAAAGTTTTCGTAAGTGAACATAGAATTTCGATAGCGTTTCACTTGCGTAAATTTCGACGGCGACATAACAGTATGTGATCAAATTTTGCAAATGGGTAAACTGACCGGTCGTGCTAAATTTTGTGTCAGTGACTAGGGGAGCGGCCGCTATGGTCACTTGTAACCTCGGCCATTAGCAACCATCATCACACCCATACCATTACCATTGTGTACAGATATAATGTCGATATACAGTGCAGTCTTCAGTAAATAAGCGCGAACTTTGCCTTGGTATTCGCGCACGTTGACAAGGCTTCACTGACGGGAACGACAGTACGTTGCCTATCGTCGTTAACGATTCTCTCCTTTTCCGTTTAGTTCTGGTCTCCCTTTGAGTCCTTCTCAGCCGCCACTGGCCCGTCGCTTTCCTGTTATCGTCGCCGCCGCTGTCGCGAGTGAACAACGTGACAACTGCTGTCGTCAAGTACGATGACATCGACGACGTCGATAGCTGACTGTGACTTGACCGGCTACTGAGAGCACGCGGTAGAGTAAAATCGAAAGAAAGAGCGTCTACGTAGCAAAGTCACCATCAACACAACGGTTGTAGCTGGTCTGCGGCGTTGGCGGACGGCTAGACGGCGACGGTATACGATGGCGCGCCGGCGCCGCATAAATCTCCCCCACTCCTTTTATCCCCTCTTTCCCGTAGCGCCCTGCAGCTCTCTGGCGCGATCGAGCGCTAACAGCAGCAGCAAAATGACGCCGCCGGGCTGAACAAGCAGCAGCGGCGGCGGCGGCGGCGGCGGCGGCGGCGCACTGGCAGAAGCACACCAGGAGAGGAGCCACCAGCGCGGCTCCTTCAGCTGAAATTTCGTTGTTCACTTGTCGTTTTTTGGCAGCCGGAGTCGGAGAAAAGCGCCGTGGCAGGCGTCAGCAGCAGCTACATTCACCGATCAGCGACAGTAACAACAACGGCAGCAATCACATGGGACGGTGTTTGTTGGCGAAACTAGCCAGCAAGACAACATCAACTCGGGACAACAGCAGCGTGGTAGGACCACGATTGCTGTCGACCCTCCTTACGCGCGCTGGATCTGTCCGATTCGAACAATGGCGACAGGCACGAAGCAAGCGGCAACAGGAGCAGAGGCTCCGACAAGAGGCCGGCGATTCACCGACAATAAAAGTTGACAGCAGCGGTCTCTCGTGGCGATGGATCCTACGGCACTCTTTCACTCGTAAGCGCGCCTGCCTGGCTACTTGATTACCTGTCTGCGTAGAAGCGGTTGCGCCTGTGGCACCTCACTGGCGCCCTCGCCGACGTCGCCATCACCCAGGCAACAACGGCGCGCTGGCGTCGCTAGTGGCGGCTGTTAGGCGTACCTCTGTAGGCCGGCAGGCGTTTCGGCCGCCAACCAATATTTAACTCCCGATATTTGTCGTTCACTTACAAATCCCCAACATCAATGCGGCGAGCGGCCATTTTTTGCGATATCTATGTAGTACGTCAATTATCGGCAAAACCACTTATACGCTACAAGCGGACAGATCAACAACGATAAATAGGGTAGAATGTGTATTTTGAATGGTCAGACACTGATCATCGTTGTTAATACGAGCGCTTTTAAGCTCAAATAGTCTACGACATATATTTTCGCTTGATGCAATGTTAGTCACCGTTTGGCTTATGCACACTTGCCAATTGCAGTGCCAACTATTGTTCTTAGCTTGTAAATATGCACGAAGTTTCTAGTACAACATACAGAGACTACGGTAAAGTTACAACAGCTTTAAGGTACAACTGAATAGTTCAAGCGCTTTTCCAAGCTGCTCCAGAACACGTAAGTACATCTCCTGCATGTACGAGCTAGTTTTTCATACATTTGACTTTATTTTTTTTGCCCCCAAAACAACAGTGGTTTCGTAAAGTCGAAAACAGGGTAGAGCAAATCTACGTCAGGAAATACTATAAGCAGCTGGACAATTTGCTAAACAGCCAAACTCTTTAGGTCACACCTGTGCCTGCAAACAACCTTTTAGGATAAATAGTCATTACTAGCCACCAAATGTCTGTCTGTCTGTCTCGTTAACAAAGTGTTCGCCACACAACCTACATACATCAACGTACCTTTGTATGCTATCGATATCGGGGAGCATACGGCTAGTTACGAGGCTGATTTTTCAGCGTCGTGTCGTGTGTCTGTAGATTACTCGTATTTACAAAAACGAATTACATATCGCAAAAGTGAAGCTCTTTTATAGTTTAGTTCTGAAACGATCGCTTTCATTGTATCAGCATTTTATCCTGCTGAAAGCATTGCCCACAACATTTAAGTTCTACAGAAGTCCTGTGGACGCAGCAAGTTACTTTTACCGAGAACTTCGAATACTTGTTCTTGCCCTTGCACACATGTACGTTCGATGCAGCTTTCAACATGCGTAGAATCGACACCAGCCGAATGGAAAAGTACAGAGGGATCTAAACTGGCTCGTTAAGACATTCACTACGAACATATGCGGTAATAGCTTATCTGCATCCGTGTATCTTCGTAATGGAGTGTGTTGATTGCGGTGGATAGCAGGGCGGCACAGGGCACGCGAACAGCGCTCGTCATTTGAAAATGATCTTTTTTTTATCGGAAGAGAAGACAGATGATCTCAGAGGACAGAGGATTGCGATAACGATTGCTTTATCTGTTTACTTAATCATAAAAAGTAAAATGATACCATTCCCAACTTTGTTCATTTAACTGGCTAAAGCTAACGATTGTTGTCGACTAATTGTTGCAAGACAAAACAGATAGCGTCTTTTATTCAGGCGGTGTGTCTCCCGTTAACATAAGAATAGATCGACATAATAGAGAACGAGCCTGTACGTCGCAGTGTTTCGTATCATCAGCGTGTGTGCCACCCAGTGAGAGGCATTTGACTAGCTGGTACTGAACTGCGGCGGAAAGGATTGTCTTCTGGTAGAAGCTTTGAAGGTTATAGGTAACAGTGATCGACTAACGAATTTATTTAGAATTCGTTTAGGCTAATTACAAAGACGCTGTTTGCGTCAGTGTAAAACCATTGACTTCGCTCGCTCTAATAGATCAGCCCATCAGCTACACAATGGACACCTACCGTAAAAACGCTTCGATAGACTACGCGCTCATGTAGCAACGCTGTTTGCGACAGATATGCGCGATAAAAGCTGCAATGCGGTAATGCTTTCACCTGTCCAATCCTGTTTTTGTTCAACCCAATCAAAGCTTATTGTACCCAATCCAAGTTTTTGTTTTTATATATTTGTCCTACTGCTACATCTAGATCCCTATCGAAATAATCCCACGTGACAGATGTGACACGGAATAATTCCGAAATATAGTGCTTTGTGGACAGCATGCGAGGTCATTGGAGTGGCCGCGGGTAAAGGACACACATATTCTTCCGCTAATGGCTATCTTCGGCAGTGAAGTTACATAATAGCGCCATGCTCGATTTGACTATCATTTAATGCATCATGCTAATTTCGTTCGATCTGAATATGTGACAAGGAGCTTGTGCGAGCTCTTGTTTACGAGCCTACGCTACCGTAAAACAGGTTAAATCATATTGTAAAATCGTATAGCATGCAACCATAAATATGTATTGCCATCTAGATAACGACCGTCATAATAGTCATCGCCGTCAGTGTTCTTCTATTTACTCTGCTCATTTTCTTTCATTAGACATACTAGAATTTTGTGCTCGATTAATCTTTTTAAGGCGGAACCCGTTGGTAGACAAATGCGTGTATTTGTACTCAATTCCGTTGACGTTAACGGGACGCTTTTTGAGTTCGCTTGACCTCGTTGCGAGCAACGGCACATTTATCTGTGATATGGAGATTACCATAACAGTGGTCCCAGACGGACATGGATTACCTGAAAACCCAACAGGCACCGACCATTTCCAGTTTAAATTACGCGGTGGATGACCAGCTGTATTGCAACTAGCAGCGATCTAAATTAACATTTTTAGAAAATATCGCAATTTACTCGTTAGCTGAAGTCACAAACCTCAGGTTTGTGTAGCTGAGAAATTTAGCGCTAACAGACATTTAGATTTCAGTTATTAAACACTGCAGAGTATCTGTCGTTTGGATAGCTTATTACGGATTTGTCCCTGTGGTTACACTCAAGGCTATTCAAATGCAACGGTGAAACTGTTCCTTGAGATGCCTTTTGTAGACCTGCAATTCGCAAAACAATCGAGATACAAAAAAACACAAACAGAAATAAAAACTATATCGCGGTAAGAGACATTGCGACTCAGATAGATGGCGCAATCAGTCACGAACGCAATTAGAAGGTCAACAATGATTTCACTGACCGATTTCCAGCTGCGGAACTCAATGCTAAAGCAATGCCGTTAAAAAGTAAATTTCACGGCCGCTGGTGCAGTAGCCTGTATAACCGATAATCCGAACCGGACCGTTTGAAGGCGTGTTGACCGGGCATTGTAGGAGACGCGGCGTACAATTTGAAACGAAGATCTTGAGCATTCTGAACCATTATCACTCGAAAAAACGTGTCGAATACGCGTGGACACACAACACGGACACAGAGAAGTAGCGAAAAGAAGAGGTTACCGCTGATTACGGCGATAAATGCTGTAAAATTTGTGTTTTGCTCTCAATTGTCATTGGCCTATTGATGACGACGACGACACTGTGCCTAACGAGGCACGTCTGCAGCAACAGTAAAAATAGTAGCGAAAACAATTGAAGAGCTCTTCCTTAATAATCAGCTCAGATAATTGATCGTTGAAGACTGTTACGGACTGAACATCCGTCACATAGTCACCAAAACAAACGATAGAAGACGTTGACCGGAGACGATTATCTTATGCGGAGAGAACGACCCTAGTTCGCCAGATAGTAATAAGGATAAATAATCTACAAAGGATAGGCGACAACGATATATGTGGAACTTCATCATTGAATTGAATCTGTTTAACTGATGATTAACTCTGACAGAGCGTACATTAAGTGAGGTAATCTGGTGAGGCTAGACTGAGGGAATGACCGAAATTGTCCGAAGCGCCAAACGTACGTATTTGACTCTGCAGTAAAGTGAGAACACGATTCAACAAAACAACACAATGAATGTTCCTGGCGAAAGTGATGGACCTCGTAAACTATTCGTCGTCACCGGTAACGTAACAGTCTTTTAGAGAACGGTCAAGCTGATGGCGATCTCGCACGGCAGCTCGTGAGAGTGATTGTCCATAAATGGTAGATCATAACACGAAGCTAGCCTCAAATATCGAAGGTTACCGTTAAACATAAATGCTAGTTGCTCTCTGTGCATGTAGATATATATATCTACATAGAATACATGCCATTTGGAGGAGGAGCAGCATCTTTTACGAAAGCGAATTTCGGGAAATTTTAGGAAGTACTGAGCCGCTTCAAAACAAACGCGCTATCTCTGTGCCGAAAGATGTCAGGCAAAGCTAGTGCAAATTCATATTGACGATGGTCTAGCTCTATACGTATTGCGACTCGATTCCATGCAAACAGTAAGTTTTCTTTAGTAAATCGTTTTCCTTAGTGACATCGCCTAACATATTGACTGGAAGTAGTCTTGCTACCATTCGTTCTTTCGACCAATGTTTTATGACAGCGCCGTGAAGCATTGTAAGGAATACGCGTTCGAGTCCCTCCGTTAGTTGGTACCATAGGAATCCAGTCATGGAAATAGGTGTTTTACCTTTTTAACTTCTTTCACTGAACTATTTTTGTTGCTCTTTTCGAAAAAATTAGTACGATACATCCGTCTGCAACGCGTGTTCTTCGAACAATCGCTAAATAATCAGAACGGTTCTTTTTAGTGGCGTGTCCGCAAACGGCCGTCGTGAGTTCGGTCCCAAAAAGATAAGAGCCCACCTTCGTAGGAGCTCTATGGTTTAGCTCAGAAAAGAAGCTGTATCTATCGACGTAAACAGCTTCGTATTTGCGCGAACGTTACCATCTGTATCTACTCATTGAACGGCATAACACGAAACGTTATTTCTCTTTAGTAGTGAAGCTTCGCAGGAACGCCACTCGGCGGACTGGAACAATTTTGTCTGCTAAAATTTGTGTTTATGTGCCTTTTATAGCAAAAGACTGAAGAATCTATCATTATCCTATTAGCATATTCAGCAGGTGGTTTATTTAACTAGCCAACAGCAACATAAAGACCTCAGGTCCAAGTCTCCTTCCTTATGAGTCGCTGTTGCAACTCCGAAAAAACTTCAAAGCCAAGTCTAAATGAATCCCATCAAAAGAGCTGCCTAATAAGGGAAACCGTTATGAGCTAGTTTGTCAAGTACGCTTCAGAGCCTAGGAAACTAATTACTACGAGCTATTTACAATCGTATCATCAGGCCACAGTTGCTCTCCTCCCGGATTTTTCAAAGGCTTGTTTATTTTTTGGGCTGCCTTTAAATGTATGGGGTTTTTTTGTGTAATGTGCGCGCTATATGGCTACTGAACTTCGAAACAGTTGACCAGTGCTCCTACAACGTGCTGAACTTTTTAGGCAAATACCATATTGTCTATGCATAGGGCTTGGGCGTGTTTGTTTACCGCTACGAACCCATCTAAGAGACGGTAAGCAGTAAGCTGTAAATTTGCTCTCAGCTGCGGAAAACTATACTACAGGAAAAGAGACATGTTGGATACAGTAAATGCTATTATGTTTATAGCACCGCATACATAAGGGCACACGATAAAACCGAAAATGACGAAATGTATGACGCCATGCGTCGTGTGTTTGAACAGCATCTGTCGCCAATCGGGTTAAATATCCGCTGGGCATGTCCGGAACAC